GTGTTCTTCATTCTCCTTTGCTCCAGGTGGGTTGTGACCAATTGATGCATCTTAGATGGCTGCTTGCTAGCTTTTAAGACCCCAGATGCCACTCACCAAAGTGGGATGCAGAACATTTTCTTAATAAACTTGTTACGCCAATTGACCTAGTTGTCCCCCTGAAACCATGGTCCCCAGACCCCTGCCCCTGATACTCTGTCCCTTGAAATTTCTGGTTGTATTCAGGAAACTTCTTAGCTTTGGTTTAGTCCAGTTGTGCTGACTTCCTCTGTAGGGGTGCTGTCCTTCCCTTCACCTGATTCTTATCTACTAATCTAGTTAGTGAATACCCTCTCCCTCCCTCCTCACCCTCGTAACCATCAAAGAATGTTTTCTTCTGTGTTTAAACCTTTTCTTGAGTTCTTATAATAGTACTCTTATACAGTATTTGTCCTTTTGAGACTGTGTGTATAAACTTTTGAATGAGAAACTAAATGCACTGTAAACTTGCACCTAAAGCACAATAAAATTACAAAAAAATTTTTTTTTTTTTTAACATTTGATTTATACTGTATACCTTAACCACTAAGTAATGTGTGAACTATAGACTGGATCTTTGCCTGTAGTTGTAAAAATAGTCACACATTCTTATTTGTGATATACCTGAACCTTGAAATGCAATCACTGGGCATTTGACTGTTAAGATAGGTTACCAGGTCCAACAGAACAATTAAGTCCAGGACATCAGGACTTTTAAGGTAAAAAGGGGACTATGCTTATATTCTCAACATAAATGAAGACTCCAAGTACAACGTGTTTTTGGACCACCTCTTAGCAAGTGCTGCCTTGTGGAATAAATCTCGAAGAAAGTGATCTTACTTTGTGTATGAATTCTAGGTACTTAGCACATATAAAGCAGGCATTCTACAAATACTGATTGAGCAGAAAATCTGTCCTTTTCAGCTGTAAGAACTCTAGAGAGTAAACAAGAATTGACTTACAAAGGTATTTAATATTTCTAAAAAAGAATGATTGCCAATATAAAGTAATTCAAACTTTTAAAATAATGAAAATATTTATTCAAATCTAACTGTAGCACAGTATCAGGTTGAGTTAAATAAACATTAACTGTCTGAGATTTAGTTCCTTAGGAATAGACCACTGCAACATCATCAAAGTTTCTTACAACACAAATTTCTGCAGTAAGGTTCAGCAAGTAAGAAGACCTGATTTCCACATTGAGTTGTGAGACAGTAGGGTGAATTTATTTTTTTAAAGGCCAAGTACAAAAAAAAAAAAGGTTCAGGAAGACGACTCTTTAACAATATATACACCTGTAGGGGGAAGAAAACCCCACAACTATTATACTGACATTTAATCAAACAGAAAGCACTTAAGAGAACATACTTTAATATTCAGGCACAATTGGTTGCGTACTAATTATAATTTTTGCTCTCATTTAAGGGCTTAAACCGATTCTTCAACTTGACTGATGTGTGTGAGTCTAAGATAGAGAAGGCACCTCTTTCATTCCCCTCAAGGATCGTTTTAGAGTAACTCTTTGTAACACTTTTATGGGGCAGACAGACAATACACTATATCTAAGTACAGATACAATTATTTAACACAGCCAATTTTAGGACAAACTAAATTAAAATATAAAACTATGATTTCTTTTTTTTACATCTTATGATGGTCGTGGCTTTCTAAAAGGGTATCAGGAGATAATCCTTCACACAAACTTTAACACAGAATACAAGATTTAAATTAAATGTGCATTGGTCACTATTATGTATGTAAAGAGTTCTATGAATTAGTGCAATTCTTTAAATCCCCAGTATTTAGGAGAAAAGTATATACATACTAAGAAACCTCACCACTACACAACCACACTTTTTATGGCTCAATAGTCCAACCAGTTAAAAGTTCTGCAAACGATCATAGAAATTATAAAAAAAAGCTCAAAACACTCAATAAATGGTTTACAAAACTCTCTCTTTAAAACAAAGAGACCAGAATGATCAGAAGAAATAGTTAAAGAGCAATTTTCAAGAATACAATCTTTACTGCGATTATAGGGGATGGTAAAGTACTCACTCTAAAACAAAACCATCAAACTGCTGATTTCTGATTAGATACTTTACTACTAGTTGAGGTGGTTACCAGTTCTATTTAGTGGCTATGTTTTTAAATGTCTTGCTGGACAATTACTGAAGGCAACTTATAAAGAAAAGCATTGTTTTCCCCAAAAGAGAAGTGAGAAACTATTCCAGATGAGTAAAGCCTCAGAATTGGGGATCATTTAAGAAGTCAAAAAACACAGTGTAAGAACATTAGGTTGACTTAACCTCTATTTCAACAAGATGTACACAATATTTACAATATGCAATTTCAAAGCTACAGTTTTGCAGATTGGCTTTACTTACATTTCTGCAAATGTTTTTTTCCAAAATAGAAATATTACAGGTAAGTCTATTTACAAACTAGGTAGCTGCTTCAGAAACAGCATGATTTAAAGTGAAATTTCAGTACAATGAAAGTGCAGGTCATGCTTTCAGATTCTGTCAATATCCCATTCCCCACACTCATAGTTTAAGGGATACCACTTTTAAACAGCTACTGTTCATATATGTTCAGAATGTTTATTCATCATAATGCAATGATAACAAAAATTTGTCCACATCCATTCCAGCTGGAAATGAACTGGGTAGCTTCTTTTTCTGTCAAAAAAAGAAAAAGAAAGAAAAAATAAACTTAATATATTGAACTCAATGCCAAAAGGCTTTCTTATTAAGTCACTCAGAACCTTGTATCAGGTTCTTCCATATACTACTAAACTGCCAAAATTTTTAGTCCATTAGAGTTTTAGCTCTGCAGAGAAGCAGAAATAAGTTTTATAAATCCAAGGTTAATTGACTATACTTCAACGATACTTTGACATTTGTCATATTTTACTTGGCAACTGCATGCAACAGTGGTTTCTCAATCTTTCATACCTTATGTTATTCTTGCTAAAAAAAAAAAAGAAACCCAACTTGGGTCCTACCATAACATAAAGGCGGCTTTTCCCAAATGTTATGGATAGAATTGTGTCCCCCCAAAATGTGTTATAAATCCTCACCCCAATACCTGGGGTTAGAGTCCCGTTTCAGAATGAGTTTTTCTTTGTTGTGTTAATGAGGCAGTGTTAGTGTAGGATGTATATTAAATCAACATCTTTCAAGATATCAAAGAATGGAATACGCAAGCATGCAAGCACAAGCAGAAAGGACAATACATGCCACCTGACTGGTAAGGAATTTAGGAATACAAGCTGAAAAGAGACAAGAACCTTCCCGCAGAGTAAACAGATTAAGAGAGCCTTCCCCTAGAGCTGGCGCCCAAAGTTCGGACTCCTAGGCCCCTAAACTCTGAGAAAATAAACTTCTGTTCATTAAAGCCAACCACTTGTGGTATTTTTGTTACAGCAGCACTAGGTAACTAACACACCAAGGAAGATATTTATAAATAAATGCCTTAACCATTGTTTTGATACTGTTGTGTTTCTTCCAAACAACTTCTGAGGGCCCCACTGGCTAAGAAACACTGCTCTAGAATGTATCTGGTTAATCAAAGTAGTCTTGACTATAATGTTGAGTTAGGTAGCTGTGGCAAAAAATGCTAAGCTAATCTGGTTATTAACGGAAGGACAAAGATGGGATTCCACAATAAAAACTTTCAAACTTGCCTTAATTTTCTTCTTTTTCATTGGTATTGATGAATTTCCAAGATTTTTATTAGAAGTACGGGAGTTCCGCTCACGCTCATCTAACTCCTCAATTTTCCGCTTTTTTGTGGTGCTCCTCGAAGATCTAAATTGCTGTGTATTATCTTTTAGAGGAGTTGATGAAGTAGTCCTAGAGATAGCTGCTCTAGAGAGAATCATTAACGTATGGGCAGCCATGCTCACACTGTTTTCACTCCCTGTTTCACTGGCAGGGCTGCAAGCAGGCAAGTCTGGGGTGACAGGAGGGACCATGACTTTGGGTGTGCTACTGTCTTCACCAAAACGCCTACTAGAAGGGACCTTGATACCATCTGTAGGTTCTTCTTTATGTTTTTCCCCTGCCCCTGAGCCAGGTGTCCGGGGTACAGGTAACTCACCACTATCAGCAAGCCTATTAACTGGGCTATGCCACTGAACATCTTGTAACATTTCTGTGGTATGTTTGGTTAGTGGGTTAATCAAACAACTGGAAGATTTAGTTTGTTCTTGTTTTATATCCTTCCCAGCTGCTCCTACGGAAACGACATTTTTACTGTTTGAGGATGTGCTTTGCTTTTTGGTCAGTTCTTGCAATGAAGCTACAGTTTTCTCATTCCGTAAATTCCCATTTTGCTGCCCATTAGACAGTTTCGTAGTTTCTGGATTTTTCTGCTTTTCCATATCCCTGCACAGTTCATTCTCCTTATTAGCTGTTGCTTTATGGAAAGATTCAATTACAATTTCTGTTGGTAAAACTTTCTTTTCTGGCTGAGTTTCTCTTATGGTGGTATGCTGGCTAATGGTGGTTTCTGATTTAGATAAAATCTTAGGCACAGGAGGTTTTTCTCTTTCTTTTTTGACAGCATTATTAGGAGATTTTAAGGGGGAGGACACACTGGGAGAGTCCAGATTAGGAAAAGAAATTTCATTCTTTTCTTTGTTTTGGGACACCACCTTATGGTTTGGTCCTTGTGTATTTGACACAGGAGAAGCAGTGTTATCAAAACACAGCACCCGCCTGTGGCTTTCAAACGGTTTGCTCGTTGGAACCATACTCTCTCCTGAGAAGGAAACTGTGATTTCGTCCAATTTTCTTCCAAGATCTGTGCCTGTATTCTTGTCAGAAATTTCAGTTCTACCAAAAACAAAACAAAAAACAATTACTTGTAACAGTATTAAGAATCTTTTGTTTTGAATCCAAGCATTCAAATAATCTGATTAGGAACTACTTTTATGCTCACCTTTGTGTATGAAATCCAACTGACTGATTTGAAGAATCCACCAAATTATTTACCTGTTTTCCTGAAATTATAAGTGAATTAATTAGAAAAGAAAATACTCTTGAGAATTAGAATATACTCCTCTGTAAGAGGCTGGAATAGACCACAGTATCACATATCATGAGAAAAAAATTTAAATGATAGCTAACATACAAATGAAATATTTAACATACTGGCTTTTACAGAGTAGCTTTGTAGGAAGTAAAACTATCCCTTTTTGCAGATGACATAATCCTATAAACAGAAAACTCCAAAGAAGCCATAAGAAAGCTATTAGAACTAATAAGTGAGTTCAGCAAGGTGGTAGAGCACAAAGTCAATATGCAAAAATCAGCCGGGTTTCTATGCCTCAGCAATTAGCAAGTGGAAAAGGAAATTAAGGAAACATTACCATTTACAATAGCATCTAAAAGAATAAAGTACCTAGGAATAAATTTAATCAGGAAGGTGAAAGACTTGTACACAGAAAACTATAAAACATTACTAAAAGAAATTAAAGATCTAAATAAATGTTAAGGACATTCCGTGTTTGTGGATTGGAAGGCTTAGAACAGATTAAGATGTCAACATTACCCAAAGTAATCTATAAATTCAATGCCACCTCATCCAAATTCCAACAGCCTTCCTCATAGAAATACAAAAGCCAATCCTCAAATTTATATGGAAGGGCAAAGGACCCCGAATAGCTAAAGCAATCCTGAAGAAGAATTAAGTAGGCAGTCTAACACTTCTGATTTCAAAACATACTAAAAAGCCATAGTAATTAAAATAGCCTGATACTGGTATAATAACAGACATATGGACCAAAGAAATAGAACTGAGAGTCCAGAAATAAATCCATGCATCAATGGTCAACTGATTTTCAACGAAGATGCTAAGTCCATTCAATGTGGAAGGAAGAAAGAAGTCTCTTCAATAAATGTTGCTGAGAAGACTGATTTCCATACACAGACGAATAAATCAGTATCCAAGCCTCACAATGCCTTAGTTATCTAATGCTGCTATGACAGAAATACCATAGGTGGATGGCTTTAACAAAGATAAATTATACTCTCAGAGTCTAGGAGGCTAAAGTCCAAATTCGGGGTGCCAGCTCCAAGGGAAGCTTTATCTCTCTGTTGGCTCTGGGGGAAGGTCCTTGTCATCAATCTTCCCCTGGTCTAGGAGCTTCTCAGCACAGGTACCACAGGTCCAAAGGATGTATTATGCTCCCGGTGCTTCTTTCTTGGTGGTATGAGGTCCCCATGTATCTCTGCTCAATTCTCTTTTTTAAATCTCAAAAGAGACTGGCTTAAGACACAACCTAATCTTGTAGAACTCATCAATATAACTGCTGCTAATCCATCTTATTACATCATAGTGATAGAGTTCACAACACATAGGAAAATCACATCAGATTACAAATTGGTACACAATCGTACAATACTGGGAATCATGGCCTAGCCAAGTTGACACACATTTTTGGGAGACACAATTCAATTCATAACACACACCATACACAAAAACCAATTCAAAATGGATCAAGGACCTAAATGTGAAAACTAAAACTATAAAATTCTTAGAAGAAAATGTAGGGGTGTGGTTGTAGAGCCTAGTTATTAACAATGGGTTATCAGCTATGACAACAAAAGCACAAGAGGCAAAACATAAAATAGATAAATGAGATCTCCTAAAAATTAAATACTTCTGTTTATTAATGGACTTTATCAAAAAAGTGAAAAGACAACCTACAGACTTGGAGAAATTTTTCAGGAATCATGTATCTGATAAGGGTCTAATATCCAAAATATATAAAAAACTCTACAACTTAACAACAAAAAGACAAACAACCTAATAAAAAATTGGGCAAAGGACTAGAACAGACATTTCACCAAAGAGGACATTTAAATGCCCAACAAGCACATGAAAAGATACTCAATGTCATTAGCCATTAGAGGGATGAAAATCAAAACTACAACGAGATACCACTTCACCCATATCAGAAAGGCAATGATCAAAAAACAGGAAAAGAACAGATGTTGGCAAGGTTGTGGAGAAACTGGAACTCTCAACCATTGCTTGTGGGAATGTAAAATGATATAGCCATTGTAGAAAACAGTTTGGCAGTTCCTCAAAAAGTTGAACATACAACTATTATATGATCCAACAATCCTAATCCTAGGTATGTACCCAGAAAAAGTGAAGGCTGGAATGTAAACAGAAACCTGCACACCAACATTCACTGCAGCACTTTTCACAATAGCCAAAAGGTGGAAACAACCTAAATGTCCATCAACAGATGAATGGATAAACAAAATGCGGTATATACACACAATGGAATACTATACAGCCACAAAAAGAAATGAAGTCCTGATGCATTTCACAACATGGATGAACCTTGAAAACATCATGCTGAGAGAAATAAGTCAGTCACAAAGGGACAAATACTACAGCAAATACAAAAACCAAAGATTATTAGTGGTTACCAGAAGGTGCAGGAGCCCTAGTGGCACAGCAGTTAAGAACGACAGCTGCTAACTGAAAGGTAGGCAGTTTGAATCCACCAGCCACTCCCTGGAAACCCTATGGGGCAGTTCTACTCCACCATATACAGTTGCTATGAGACGAAATCGACTCGCCAGCAACAGGTTATCAGAGGGAAGAGGTTCTGCTTAGGGAGCATCGAGTTTATGTTAATAGTATGGAATGATTTGGAAAAGGATAGTGAGAATGGCTGCACAACTTGAAGAAATGTAATCAATGTTACTGAATTGCACATGCAGAAATTGTTCAGATGGTGTATGTTTTGTCATGTATATTTTCACCACAATAAAAAAAGAAGGGGAAAAAAAGCAGCCTTTTAATAGGTCCAACAAGACTATCATCCATCCACATTACTGGAAGAAAAAAAAACCTCAAACGAAACCGACTGCCATCAAGTTGGTTCTGACTCAGAGTGACCCTATGGGACAGAGTAGAACTACTGCCCTATAGGGTTTCCAAGACTGTAACCTTTATGGAAGCAGACTGCCACATCTTTCTCTCCCAAGGAGTGTCTGGTGATTTGAACTGCTGACCTTTCAGTTAGCAGCTGAACACTTAACCACTGTGCCACCAGGGCTCCTCTTTACTGAAAAAGCAAATCTAAACATGAAGCAAATGACTTCCTTCAACTTCAGGCAAATATTATGAATCCAGTCTTTGAATCTATGAAAAACAATGCTCAATACAACAATTAAAGAGACTATTTAGATGCAGATTACTTAATCTGTTACTTAAAGAATGCAATATATAATACCTATTTTAAAAACTTGCCCATTTAACTATCACGTTGGGAGCTTATGTATTCAGAGCACATGCTCTGGAGTATTAGTAATAGCCATATATTAATTTCTATGGACTTCAGGGTTTATGTGGGAATGCAGCAAGAAATGAACCTAAAAATGAAAGCAAAGATGACACTGTGTACTATGCTAAAGCCTTAGATTTTATCTTATAGGTCACAGAGAACCCTCAATAGTTTTACGTAAGGAAAATGCATAAACAGATTTGTGTTTTAGGATGATCACTCTGGTGATAGTGTGGAAGATGGATTAGAGAGGAGAGAAAACTGGAAGCAGAAATTCTAGTTAGATGGCTATGAACATTCCAGGTAAGAGAAGATGAGGGTTTTAGAGGCAACTATGTAAGACTGGGAAACCCTGGTGGTGTAGTGGTTAAGAGCTATGGCTGCTAACGAAAAGGTCAGTAGTTCAAATCCACCAGGCGCTCCTTGGAAACTCTATAGAGCAGTTCTACTCTACCCTACAGGGTCACTATGAGTCGGAACTGACTCGACGGCAATGCGTTTTCTGGTTTGGTACATAAGACTGAGAACTGACAGGATCTGGTGACAGTAATGGACATTCACATGGATATGAAGGGCACAAGAAGAATCACTGTTGAGGGTGACCAAGCAGGGGAGGAGAAGGAATAACAGGGGAAGTCTGTAAGGAGGAAGAGGTGAGACTTAGGTCGATATGTAGAGTTTGAAGGTCTAGAGTTACATAAAATTAGCAAGGGACAGGATCCCTGGTGGTGCAGAGGTTAAGAGTTTGGCTGCTAACCAAAAGGTTGGCAGTTTTAATCCACCTGCTGCTGCTATGGGGCAGTTCTACTCTGTCCTACAGGGTCACTATGAGTTGGAATCGACTGGACGGCAATGGTAGCGAGGGAGAAGCATAATTGTTTAGTGATGGTTGAAAACCACCAGTAGTATCAACTCATAGAAAAGTAAAGTAAGGTAAGAATAGAAAAAGATCAATGCATATGGTAATGTTAGCGGCCATTTGTGACCTTTGTGTAAATAGTTTTAGTGAAAACATGAGAAAAACCAATAATACGGCTAAAAGAGGAATGGGAAGTGAGAGAGGTCAAGGGTAAATGGTTGGCAGGTAGGACAAACATAAGTAAGTTTACAGTTACAGAGTAAAAAAGCCAAAAAAAAAAAAAAAGTTAGAATATATAGCAGTAGACAGAATCTAGAGCACAGGTAGATTACATTAACACAGCAAAGAATGAGACAGAGTTATTTCTCTAAGAAAGAAGGGAACAGGAAAGGATAAATGTGGAAGTACAATAAGTGTGTACTGGATTGGGGTGATACGGGAAAATGGAGTTTACTACTGACAGGCTAAGGGACAAAATCATGTGCTAAGAGAGAGGAGAGTGAAGATTGAATACATTTAACAAGAGTTGTGAAAATCTGGAATAATCTGAAGATGGAATGGAAAGAAAATCAGACAGGGAGGCATTTAAAATGATTGCTAAGTGGCAGTAAGGGTTAGAAATAAATTTTTAAATGATACTTCTAAAGCAACGCTAAGAAGCCCAGGTGTAAAACCAGAGATGGTTAGCTGGATAGATCTATGTCTGGAGAAGAGCAAGTGGGTATGGTAGAAGAGGGTAGGTATGAAGCAGATTAAGATTACTGCCACACCAAGATGTCCTCCAATAGGTGAATGGATAAACAAACTGTAGTACATCCATACAATGGAGTATTATTCAGCAATAAAAAGAAATGCGCTATCTAGCCACAAAAAGACGTGGAGTAAACTTAAATGCATACTGCTAAGTAAAAGAAGCCAGTCCAGAAAAGCTACATACTGCATGATTCCAACTATACGACATTCTGGAAAAGGCAAAACTATAAAAACAGTGAAAAGATCTGTGGTTGGCAAGGGGTTGGTGGGGGGGAAGATGAATAGTAGAACATAGGGCATTTTTAAGACAGTGAAAGTATTCTATATGATACTGTAATGGTAGACACAAAACATTAAGGATTTGTCAAAAGCCTTAGACCTGTACAACCCTAAGAGTAAACCCCAATGTAAACTATGGACTTTAGTTAACAATAATGTATCAATATTAGTTCATCAACTGTAACAAATGTACCATAGGAATGCAGCATGTTAATAGGAGAAATGATGTACAACAGGGAGGGGATATGTGGAACTCTCCCATACACGAGTTTCTATACATACATAGTCTCATTCTAAACTATTTTGTTCCATTGGTCTATCCGTTTTTATTACTACGGCTTTGTAGTATTTTATTATCTGGTAGGGTGAGGTTCCTGTCTTTGCTATTTTGTCTTAGCTAACCATAACTTTTTTGTTCTTCCTTAAAGTTCAGGGAATCAGTTTTTTCCATTCCCCAAAATATTCCAATAGGATTTTAACTGGAATTGCATTAAATTTTCAATTAAACTGGGAAGAACTAAAATCTTTACACTGTTAAAAGTCTTTAAATCTATTAAAAAGATTCTTCTCTTTATTTAGGTCTTTTTATAGTATTTTTATGAGATTTAAAATCTTCTCCATTTCTAACAATTTTGATTAGGTTTCTTCCTTTGTACTTTACCATTTTCACGGTTATTGTAAGTGGTGTCTTATACTCCATTACATTTAATACTGCTTATTGCTGGCATAGAGAAACACAATTTTGGAAAGTTAATCATATTTGGCAGCCCTGCTGAATTTTTACTAGTCCTTATAATTTTTCTATTGATTCCCTGGATTTTTCTGTGTAAAAATCACGTCATTTGCTCTAACAGTTTTATACTTTCTCTTTCAATCTTTACACTCATTTTTTTACTGCATTGTCCAGTACCACATATGTATGGGAACCTGTATACAGCAGAGGTAGAATTTGGTATTAATAGAGAAAGGATGGATTACTTAATAAACAGTTATTGGTGTTGGAAAGGTTGGCTTAGAGGGTGAGAGTATATATCCTTGTTTTGTTCCCAACTTTAAAGGGAACACATTTAAAAGTTCCCCATTATGCATAACATTTACTATAGATATCCTTTAAGAGTCTCTATCATAAATAGGCACTGAACTTTTGTAAATAAAAAAAAAAAAAAAAAAAATTTTTTTTTCCCTGGAGCTTCAAATACGGTTGTTACAAGAAGTCCATGCTGCCAAGCAGGAAGAAATATGAAGAGGTCAATGTGGAGAGGTCAACAGGGCAAGATGACAGACGCACATGTACGTGATCCTGAGGAATCTGTGGGCAACAGGGAGCTGCTGAACGTTTTAGGCAGCGGAGCAACATATTCGAGTTTGTATTTTGGGGAAGAGTCACTCAGCCAGCAGTATATAGGATAAAATGGAAAAACAGAGACTACAGGAAGGGAGACCAGGATAGGACACTACTGTTATAACTTAAATGAAAAATAATGAATAAGTGAACTATGAAAGGAGAAATGTGAATCAAGAGGGACTCCCAGGCTTTTGACATGGCTAAGTAGTTAGATGGCTGGAGCACTGACTAAAATTAGGAACACAGGAAAATAACCTGTAAACTTTCAAGCCCTGCTATTCAAAGTGTGGTCTAGTACCAGCAGCACTGACATTAGCTGGAAGTTTGTTAGAAATGCAGAATCCCAGGCCCTGTGTCAGCCCTATTTATTCAGTTATCTGCATTTTGACAAGATCCTGAGGTAATTCATACACACATTAAAATGTGAGAAGAACTGCTATAAAGTATCATACAAATACATAAGGCATTTACTGAATATTTTAAAGCTGTCAGGAAAAACATGGATTATGCTAATCTTAGGTAACACCAAAGGACAAACCTAGGACTAGAGGGCAAAAAGGAAGAGGATACAACAAAGGAAACAACCTTCTCAGAATCAAGAACTGTCCAGCAACAGAGGTGGCTGCCTTGTGACACCTGTTACTAGAAAACTTTAAGCAAAGGTTGGATTGACCACTGATTAGGAATGATGTGGTTATTCCAAAAGAAAATATTCAGGCACTGCTGCAATCAAATAAATACAGACATAAAGCTGACATTAACCAACTTAAAATGTACCTGTACAAGGCTTGCTTCTTAGTCCCTGAGCTTTCTGGGATTTTGCAGGGACAGGGAATTGAGGGATACTTCTATTGCATACAGGTGCTGCCAAAGGCATATGAAGGACCTAGAAGAGAAAAAGCCATTAATCATATTGTTTGAAAAGCGTCACTGCTCTGTTTTCAGTTATAAATCTTACCTGCCGAGGAGGAGCAGAAAAGGTATTTCCACTCTGTCCAACTACAGATACAGGGATCATTCCCACCATTCCTTGAAGTACCGGCTGGACTGGAGAAGCAATTATGATAGCAGATCCTAAAAAACCAATTCTCAATAAGTAAGATTTACTCTTATAAGCACAAACACCAAAGTAATTACTTTGAAATAAATTCTATAAAATTATAATCCCTCTTCCTTATAATCTACTCTCCTTTTTAAAAAACTGATTTAGGAACAGCATCAAGGCTAAGAAATTAAGAAAGTCAATCTGAAGATAAGGTGGTCGTATTATGGCATTGAGTCATGGTAAGCATCATGAGCAATCGTAAGACTCTACAGCCAGATCATATTGCAAAATTATATCTTGACTCCTCTAGAATGAAGAGTGAAACTGATGGTGAAGGCTGCAAGTCTGAACCTTTACCATAAAATTAAGATCCCAACTGAATGTATACAGCTCAAGATCTTCCACGTATTTGTGATGACTAGCCACTGGCAAGGGGCAGGACTTTGAAAGTACAGCACAGCCACTACTGAAGGTGAGAACCAGGTATCAAATGCATGTGATCCAATACATTAGTGAAAGTCTGCAAGAGCATTTATCATCTTCCCATGGCATGTGTTTCTTGTATATTACTTAAACTTTCTACCTCCCTCATGTTCATAACCCCCTAACCTATTATCTCAATGGAATTGGTCAAAAAAGGACCAAGTGAGTGTACAACCCATCAGAACTATGAGGGGAAAAATCACACTGCCTATGTGGTCCTTAAAATCAACAATATAACCTACGGCTATAATTTAGTTCTGTCCCATAAATGAGCCTTTTCACTAACTACTGTCAGGGTGATCTTCTCACGTTCATATGCACCTAGTTTGGTCTCTCAAGTTAACCACCTATGCTTGTGCTGCTTCCCTTGACTAGAAAGTCCCTTTTACTCCAAATCCTACCTTATTTCTCTAAGCTTCAGCTCAAATCCTACATTCTCTACCTATGCTGACCTCTTTTATCTCATTTTAAACAGTCAAGAAACATAGACGATGTATCATAAGTTGTGTCCTTGAGCAACTTACAATCAAGAATGACCAAAAAGACAGACATATCAATCATCAATCACCAGCTACACATAAAACTGCACATAATAAATGCTACAAGAGCCCCTATGAACAAGAGGTTCTAAAGACAGATCAATTATGGAAAGTGGAAGACAGAGAGAAATTAGAAAGGTTTTTTTGGAGGGAGATACTCAGGTTGTGTCTTGAAAGTCCCTCCAAATAGTTAATTCCTTGAAAATTGAGATTATAACAGCTATCTTTAAAAAATCTCCCACAATACTGGGATCAATAGGTACACAGCTACTTGATGAATTCATCTCTCTCTCTCTCTTTTGATTGCTTATTAGCATGTAGATTGGGAAGTCATTGTGGAAAGAAAAGAGTAAAAGATTAAACCAAAGAAATCCACAGCTTAACAGCAGATTAAAAACAGATATGATGGAATTAGCCAGAGTAAAAAGGATGCCCAATCACAAATTTCAGAATATTTTTTCTCATGTTATCTACCCATGATTTATTACCTCCTAGTCAATAGTTCACACTACAAGAGAAATTAGATCCCATTCCAGAGAAGTGAACTTCAATATGTTCTTAAAGTTACCTTGTGAAAAGTTTGGTGACACAGCCTGGTTGACAGCAAATACACTGTTCGACCTTGGAGGTGTCTGTAACTGAGGTGCTGGAGGTTGAGCAGTAATAGGTGTAGAATTTCCTGGCAACACCACAACATTAGACTGACTTACAGTTGTTCCCAAGGCTGTCGGATCAGTTACACAGGTAGCTATTAGAATATTATTTGAATTGCCAAAAGTTGTGCTTGTAGCTGGCATCAACTGTATGTATCCTCCATCCTTGGAAACGCATGGTGTAACATTTGCTGACGTAATAATGCCCTCCTCACTCTGAGTGTTGTTAACTGTGGAGTCTTCAGGCTTAAGTGCTATGAGACCTTGTTCCAATGAGGCTGAATTTCCTACTCCTTCAGCAGATACGATAGCACCTGCAGTTTCTTCAGGAGATAAGCATTTAACTAATTCTGCATTTTTGGTAGATGATTTAGCAGAAGACAAAATTATAGTTGGCAAGTTTTCTCCACTGATACTAGAAACGGCACTGTTAAGTTCAGTATCTGAGGAAACAAACGAATCATCACTGATGATAATTTTGAGAGAGACGATATTCGATGGGTCTATCTCTGTTGAGTTGTCCCTAGGTTTATCACCAGTATTTTGAAACTCAGGGTTAGAATCTCCCATCGAAGAACACACAGATTCTGAAGGAAGAGGGTGACTATCTTCTATAGGATTACCCTCTGGAGGCATCAAAGCCACTTCCACGCAGTTACTATTTTCACCCAGAGAGAGAAAAATAGTATCTCCATCTTCTTTTATAGAAGATGAAGGCTCCTGTGAATCCAAAGCAACTTTCTCAGGCTTTGATGGCTGAGTTTCATTTTCTGTATGCTTTAACTCAACACACGTTGAATCATTAAGTGGCTGTTTAACTGAAGTTACTGAATCTCTAAGACAAATGTCTACTTGTTGTTCAGATACATTTAAACCTGAATTTTCAACAGAAACAGGCACTAATTTACTTTGAAGCGAAGAATTATCGTGGCAATCTGAAAGTTGTGATACAACTGGTAATACATTATTAATTTCAATTTTATTCTGGTGAATTTCACTAGAATCTGGTGACTTGGAACCTTGAAAATTAGTCTTAAGTCTTACTGTATCATTAGAACTTTCACAAAATTGACTTTTTTTAGATGGCTTTCCAGTTAATGAAGTATTTGGGGATAAAAGTTGTGAACTTTTTCCAGAGAGAATTAAGTTTTCATTGTTAATTTCACCACTGAGTGAAATAAATGAAGTTATTGGTATGTCAGATTGATCAGGTTGTAACTGAGATTCACTTGGCACACTTGGAGACAAAGAATTCTTTTCAACTTCCACAGTCATTTCAGTGTCGGTGGACATCTGACTGGTGTATAACTCAGCACAATGCTGATTACATACAACATCAGAATTTCCTCTTTGGTTAAAGTCATTCAAATTAGGCACAGACTCAAAGGCAATGTCAAGGTTACACTTCTGTTCAACTGGTACAATTGTTTTAAAGGCTTTTTTTGGGATGTTAGAGCATATTTGGGAAAAATGTTCCTGGGCTTCCTGTCTGAGCGCATCATGGTTGTTGCCATTCTTCAAAGTATCTGATGCTTCCTCATTTTGATAGGCTGTACAAAACGGGGGTTGACCAGATTGATCATCTGCAAAATATCAGCATGGTAGAAAGATATGGTGGGTATGCTCAACTTCTGAGGTAGTCATCTTTACTATAAAACCTATTTACTAAGGAAGTAATTAATCTTTGACATACCAGTAAGTGAAATCTGACAAATTCTATTCCCCATTTTCTGAGTATTGAGAAATTTTGAGGTACTTTTCTAATTACTGATGCTTTTTTAAACAAGTGCCAAATTTCGTGAAAAACAGATGACAAAAGGAAGAGTATACAAAAGTTTAAGAATACCTAATATTTACCAATATGTAAAAAAACTGGCTCCAAACACCCAATTTTTTCAGTAACAGTTGACTTTTCAACTTCCACCATTTCTACTGACCTTATTTTATCTACAATATTTTTACAGGTGAAATGGGGTAAAGTACATTTTGCATGATCAAAATGTGATCTCACTGTGTACTGTGTAACATTCAATAAGCATTTACTGAGGACAAATCCTGTGTTTGGTATTGAGATAGAAAGACAAATGACCTAGTCTCTGTCCTTAGAGACATCAGTCTAGTCAGGGAAGCAGATACAGAACAGAAAGTTACAACCAAGCGTGGTAATAACTGTAATAGTACAGGGACAAAGGCACTTCTTTCTGCCAAGGAGACCTGAGAAAGCGTTATAAGAGATATTGCATGAATGATCTTGAAAAATAAACAGAAGTATAATAGATGGTGTGAGAGGAAAGGGCATTTCAAAAACACCATCACAGCAATGATATACTGTCTTACAGCATTTACAGTTTAGGACAAAAGCCATTAACATAAACCAAATGAAAAATATAGGGGGGGGAAAACCAGAAAAATGTATGCCAACTATCACATAATTCTGTTAATGTGACACTGGTAAAGTGATATTCGGTACAGAGCACACTGAATCGCTACTTGGGGAAGAACAGTGGAAATTATGTCTAGGCTGCAAAAAAATCAGGGGAAGCAGTCACTTTTTTAAGTAGGAAGACTTTCTGAGAAGAAAGATTTCAAGTTTCATTTTGCACAGCATGGCGGTTAACTGAAACACAATATTCCAGGCATAATACATATTGAGAAAGACTATAATTCAGTCTAAGGAGAAATGGAGGTCTGGGCTTGGTACAGGTAGAGGACTCAAAGGGGAAGTGCAGCCTGAGATATCAGAAAAGTAATTTGTAGAAAATAAAAAGTGAAAACTGGAAGCCATTAGGCTTTGAAGGAGTGGGAGTGGGACGTGATGACATTTAAAAGTGGGTGAGCAGAAAAGATAATTTTGGCATAGCCTGCAGTAGACAAGATACAGGTGGTACTGCAAAGGCAAGAAGTTTTTCAAAAGTGTGAGAAGCTAGGATAATAGTTATCTTTGAGGAATAGGGATGGAGGAAGCAGTGACTGAAAGGGGTGCGAATAGGGGTTTTTGTGGAGCTAGCAGTGTTCAATTTTTTTACTTGGAAGATGGTTACATGGGTGTTTGCTTTATGGTAATTCAGTGAGTTGTGCACATTTTTATTGTGCATGTCCGTGCATGTGTATTATTTTTCACAATAAAAATAAGTTTTTTTAAAAATTTGGCAAATATTTTAAGAGTCTGTTATTTGTTGTTGTTAGTTGCTGTCAAGTCAATTCAGGTTCATGGTGACTCCATGTATGTCAGAGAAGAACTGTGCTCCGTAGTTATCAAGGCAGTGACTTTTCTGAAGTAGATCTCCAGGCCTGTCTGTCAAGATGCCTCTGGATGGATTCAAATTGTCAACCTTTCAGCTAGTAGTCGAGAATTTAACTGTTTGTGCCACACGGGGACTCTTTTAAGAGTCTAGATGGACTTATTCATTGCCTCCCTTAATTCAATAAGTATTTATACGTGCTAGTTATGTGCTAAGGAGCCCCGGTGGTGCAATGGTTAAGCACTCGGCTGCTAACGGAAAGGCTGGTGGTTTAAACCCATCAGCTGCTCCATGGGAGAAAAGACCTAGAGATCTGCTCCTGTAAAGATTATAGCCTAGGAAATCTTATGGGGCAGTTCTACTCTGTCACACTGGGTCGCCTATTAGTTGGAATCGGCTCGACGGCACCTAACAAACAATTATGAGCTACACTGGTATTTCACAGAAGACAGAAATGAAAGAAAAAAAAAAAAAAAAACAAAACTTAGTACATATAGTAGGAATGACTTAAAACCTCATAAATCTTCAAATTCCAGACTATTGCTACAGTACGTAATGTCTCTTAGACAAATGAGATACATGTACTGTGCAGTCACTTACTAGGCTGAATGACTGATATCCCCACATACCAACCTTACACATTAGGGATTAAAATTTGTGCCTAAATAAAATTAGGCTAAATTTTGTTCAACTGGTCAACACTATTAATATATTGTGCATGTCAAAAATCTACTGCATCAAGAAGGAATGAGTAATAAAATTTTACCTTTCATTTTAAATACTAATGATTAGGGAGTATTTTTTTCAACTAAAGAATAAACTAGAAATATAAAAATAACCTACGCAGTAATTTGAACAGTTTTCAAATTAAATATATTTTCTGCCTTGAAATTTGAGAAAAAGATTAAGATTTGGATTGAGGATATTAACAAAACCAAATTCTTACCAGATGCTTCTGTTTCAAAGGGACTTTTAACTGCCAGATTAGTTTCATCTGCTAAAACTATACCGGGATTGGTTTCCATGTGCTGACCGGAAATGCCATGTGGTATATTTTTATTATTCTTTGTTTTACCTGCTAAAAAGGGAACACGGAAACAGTTGATTAAATAATCAAAATAAAAACACGCATCAAGATTGCTTGACAGTGGTCAAGTAATGTTAAACTTTGGTTTTGCTTACAGTCTTTCAGATGTTTTTAACATTATCGACTGTATATCACTTACCAGTACAAAAATTTTCCATCAGACCAGTAACTCTTAAACTTTAGCGTTTATGAGAATCACCTGGAGGGTCTGAGAATTTGCATTTTTAACAAGTTCCCAGGTAATGCTGATACTGCTGGTGTGGGGACTACATTTTGAGAACTACTGTACTAGACCACAAGATTGAGGGCAATGACTGGGTTTTGTACTCCTTTTGTACAACAGTGTTTAGTATAATGTGTATACAGTAGTAGGCCTCAATACACTCCTGTTGACTGGCAAAATCACTCATAGAAACAAAAAACAAAACCATTCTCCATGTATAGCTAAAGTTTCTTAAGTATAAACAAAACAAAAAACACCCTTTCACATATATCCATACAATATTTGGTATAATGGAAACAGGAATCTTTTTTTTTTTAGATGCTCTGGGGAATGTTGCTTCACTTAGTTTAAGCTACCATGAATTTGGAGAAACTTTTCTTCCACCTTCCTCAAAAGAAATGTCTACTTACCGTAGTCAAAGAGATCAAACAGTGCCTGAAATGCTGGGTCTGATTCTGTCTGTTCCAATATATCTTGTATAGCTTCTTCAGACATGTGGATTTCACTCTGCAAAAAATATGAGCTGAGGGCATAATCTTAATAGAAACAACATAGTCTAACGCCAGCAAAAAAATGAGTGGACGCTTGGTGTTCTTAACTTTTTAGGAAGAAGTACTCCCCTCTAAGAAAAAAAAATTCTAATTATAACAATATGCTCACTTAAAAGAAATTCAAGCAACATCACCAAAAAGTAAAAAGTGAATGTTCCCTAATTATACTTACTAGATCTAGTTAATCACTTTGGTGAATATATTCCTAAACATAAAATTGAAATGACTATAGAAACTATATATGTATGCATATTAATATAAATAAAATCATACCATAATGTCCTGTGGAGCCCTAGCAGCATAGCGAGTAAGAGCTCAGGCAGCTAACCAAAAGGCTGACAGTTAGAATCCACCAGCTGCTCCGTGGAAACCCTATGGGGCAGTTCTACTCTGTCCTAAAGGGTCGCTATGAGTTAGAATCGACTTGACGGCACACAATAACAACAATATAATGTCCTGTAATGTCTGTTTTCTTCATAAGCATTTATTGTAGACTGCTTTCCAAGTCTTTGAATAGAAATCTATCTCATCCCTTTTATGTTTGTTTTAGTCTCTTTCATATTAAATGCTTTCTTCAAATGTTTGACAATCCTTGCTTGTCTGTTCAGATTTAAAAGCGGCTTTCTAACAGCTACCTGAAAGCTCTGCGCCAGTGTGGGGAACTTGGCAACTACAATTAAAGCTGTAGAACAATACTGCAGAACCATCTGTATCTTCAGTTCTTTCTCCTGAGCTAGCTGAATTTCTTGCTGGGGGAGTTTACGACTGACGTTTCAGGGTGAGGGAGTTAGAAGGGGAGAAGATACGGAATTTAACTACTTCCTAAATAGATTTATCATGTTTGTAGCTCCACATTTACATTTACTTTAAGAAATACTGGTACTACATTTCTTGAGCCTTTTCAGATTTCTGTTATAAACTGCTTTGTCTCTGAACTTTGTCTTATTGGCTTAGAATACTGGGTGTGCTATGTCAGTTACTACATGTCCACTTTGACTTCCAAAATATTTTTACTGTTCTGTCCTCTTCTCTTCTTTGTCCTGGTGGGCTTGCGTTTTCAAAAATTCCATCTTTTTAGTGGTAGGGTGCAAAGCTAAATGTTTAATCCCCTACCTCTGTAAAGAGAAGAAACTCCTTTTTATTAGATTTTTTTTTTTTGCATGGTTATGCCATAAATTAGCCAATCCCCACAGGTGGACAACTGAATTTTTCCTAGTTTTTAGTTATGGCAAATAATATGAAAATGAAAATATCCCAGCAAATGTTCATTTCTTGGAATAAATTCCTATCAGTGGAATCACTAGGTCAAAGGATATACGTTTAAAATTTTAGGAACTATTGCCAAATAGCCTTCCAGAAAGATTGTGTAAGAATGCCTATTCTGGTATGTGTAAGAATGTACATACTCTCACCAATAATGGATAATCTCAATTTTTAAGCATTAATAGTCTAATAAAAAATAATGTTTTAATTTGTATTTTAAAATTATTATTGAGTATATTTCCATGTTTACTCGATATCTGAACTTCTTTTCTGAATTGCTGGTTTGAGGACAAGTTATTCTTGAAGAACTTTTATGATTTTTTGGAGATTAGCATGATTTAAGTGAAATGACACTGAACATGCTTTGAAATAACTTATTCGAAGCTGGTGGGCAACAATGGAGTAAAGAATGTCCCCTACCCATGTACAGTCAGTAGAGGTGCTGGAGATGTTTCTCATTTACAAGCTATGAGGTGAAAAAGAGTAACAACTTGCTTCCTTTTAAAGTCACTGCAAACAGATTAGACCGACACTTCTCAAACTACAGTATGTTTGATTCGCAGTGACAGTCTATAGCAGTATGCCAGAAGGTGTGCAAAGCCACTGGATAAGCATGGTGTCTTTCCTAGCTGTATTAATTTTACACGAAGATTTAAGGGATTATTTTTTTCTTGAGAAAACAAAAAAAGGAATATTCATTATACGATGAACAGCAAAATCTGTATGATTTTTTTCAGCTAAATATAACACTTCAAAGCAGTTTCAGTACACTATAGCTAGGGGAATTTATTTATTCTTCTTTAATAGAGATTTAAAATTCTCAATTTCAGTTATATACATATTATTCTGTAATGCTGCATTCAATTTTGGTGAGGAACACATTTGAATCTCTTGGGATAGAAAATTCATGTGGAAGCAGGAGGTAAAACAGAACTCTGATGAAGTGACAAAAACGGATTCTTTATGAAAATGACCATAGAGTGAAGAGAAAAACTTGTCTGAAATTTGAAGAGCCAGTTAACTTTATGAAGATATACAGAGGAAATTTCTAATCCTCAATGAAATGCGATTTAGGAAAAAGCCAGGAATTTGAACAAAGATTTCAATATAGATGAACTTGAAAATTTACAATAATGGGACAACAAGGCAATGTTAATCAAGGTATAAAATGGTGCACACCTCTTATGAAAGCCATTAGTAGAGAAAAAAACACATTTTTCAGTAAATCATTTTATTCTAAAATTTGAAAATTGGAAAAGTTCTTTGACATATGTTTCAAAATTCATGTTCAAATAAACTTTGTAAATATTTTTCTTTAATCGAGCTATAGTTTATATACCATAAAATGCACAGATGTTTACTTAAGCTCACAGTTCAATAAGTTTTGGCAATTGTAAAGATTGTGTAACCACCACCCTCATGACAAATGTTGAGCACCTTTTCATATGCTTATTCTCCATTACTATATCTTCTATTGTCTATTCCAGTCTTTCACCCATTTTTAAGTGGGAACTTTGTCCTTTTTTTATTGATTTGTAGGTCATTACATATCTTGGATGCAAGTTTTTTGCCAGATGTATTATTAATATTTTTTTCCAGCCTGTGGTTTGTCTTTTCATTTCCTTTAACCATGCTTTCAACAAGCAGGAATGTTAAATTTTGATGAAGTCCAATTTATCAATTTTTTAGTTAGTGATTTGTGTATGTTATCTAAGAAATCTTGGACTACTTCAAGGTCACAAACACTTGTAAATGTTTTAAAACTTCCTACTTCACATATGTGTACAAAATAGCTGTTTACATCTTAGTGAAGCTTGCTTATAGTATTCATTTGGGAATTATATCTTGCTATTCTTCTAAAAATTTTTATTTAAATCTGAATTTTTAACTTTTCACAAATATACAATGTAATGAACAACAGAGAGCAGAAGGTTGTATCTTACAATTTTTACAATGCTTCACAGTATCTAATATAGAGTACCTTGACCATGGTAACCACCTGATACATTAGTGGAAAAAATATAAGGAAGGACTATAAGATTATAAAAACTTAGAACACAGGATATGTATTTGTTGAACTTTAACACAGGAGAGGCTTCATAAAGAAGTTCTGGTAGATAATTTCAAGGTAGCTTTAAAAAGGTTGTCATTTTTTGTTAAATTTATTAACTTCTTCCATGAGAAAATGTGTCAAAGAGTTAAAAAAAGAAAAAATATTCTGAACAAACTATAATAAGGAAAAAAAAATTTAAATGGTTTTACCCAGAATTCATCATCTGAAAGAAAACTTGCTATGAAAATTCACATGGTGGGGTGCCAAAAAAAAAAAAAAAAAAGTTTTCATTGTCCAAGGGTCTCAATAAAAGGATGTAGTATGCCAGTCACAATCTTGGCTGCTCTTCAAAAAGAATATCTGCACTATTTGCACATAAACAAATCTCAAAACATATACTGTTAAATTTCCTCCTTTACTCTATTTCACCTTCACCACAACTGTATAAGCAACAGTGACTACAGCTCCTGTATCCCTTCTCTTAACAGTAAATCTCACACAGACAAGTCTTCATTCAGCTAGTAACCTTTCCTTTTTAAAGTGCCTTGTTCATTTCACTTGGCAAAATATTATTTGAATTTGTTATGTATCTGTGACATATTATTTTATTATTTCTTTATATTACTATAAAGTTTATAGCGGTAGAGAATAAATGTAATTTGTATCTACACTGTCAGTATTGCTGCTTACTGCACATAAATATACTAACGAATTACTTAAATTTTGAGCACTCAGAAGTCCATGTTGTGCTGCTGTATGGGTTTAGAAGAGTGTTTTACTGATATCTGGAAAAGCTGATCAACTAGACAGGTTAGGAATATCTTATTATTTTTCTCATTTAAATAATGCAATATAGGTTGTATCTGAAAATTTACTACCCAGCAAGTTTTTCTCAGGAATAAATTATATTTGGATATTGAAGGAAGGAAACCTCTATCTTAAATGACTTAAATTAATATTTTAAATCATTTTAGATATCTAATGTGTTGGCAATCACTTTAAAAAGAAAAATACCATCAGTTTTAACTATATGT